CAGAAACCCCCTTTTTCCATAGTTCGTACAGCTGTCTTTGCTACAGCTTTACAGTATTGTTAAAACTGCTTGTAAATGTAAACTTTCTGACAGTTTTCGTTTGTAAAAATATTAATAGGTGACATAAACTGTAAATTAAATGTAATGGATAATCTTGCTAGATGTTTCATTAGTACAGAGGACAGTGGAGAGCCCAGAATTGGAATGTGCTATCTTAAAGTTTCTGTCAGCCCATGTCTAGTTAATGGATAAAACTGTCCTTCAATTTTATGTCTTAAGTCTTCCCATCTATGTTTCTTTAGAGTATTATTGGGGCTTTGTTAGTGGAAGCTAGAATTTCAGCAAGTCAGATTCTTCAGTGTTGAGAATGGAGTGGGAGTGGAATGCGTTTATGCTGTAACAGAATAATAACATTTTCCTGAGACAAATTGCAAGGACCTGTTGGCTTTTTCTTTAACACATTTCTGTCAGAAACTAGGGAAAGGTATTGTATTTGTGCTTCAATATGCTAAATAAGAGGTATTTTAAACTTAAGGATGTTATGTTTCACTTGATTAGCCTAATAGTTGCAACCTACAGTTATATGGTGCATAAGCTTTCAGTGCTGTATAATAGGACTGGCAGTGTGGTGTCCCAAAAATTGTAATTGCGTGGGCTGCTGAACAGTCCTAGAGAAAGCTGCACAAAAATTCTATTCTAGACAGAATTTTTTCATTTTGAAATGAATTTCACAACAAATTCGCAGTTGGATGCCACTGCTTGTATTTCCAATGAAGCGTGCTCCAGAAAAGTAATACTTCATTTCAACAAAGCCTGCCACAAACAGTGCAGCAATATAAATCAGAAAGTGGATATTTTTTAATTGTAATTGTTCAAAATATAGTACAATTACTAAATACGCCTGCGGGTCCTGACATTCAGATTTGTTTAGCTTTGTCTTCGCACACAAAAATTAAAAAAAAAAAAAAAAAAAAAAAAAAAAAAAAAAAAAAAAAAAAAAAAAAAAAAAAAAAAACCCTTCATACCGAAGAGAAAAGAGTCGGGGGAAATACCCTGTTTACTTACGCTCTGTTCATGGTAGGAAAGTGACTTCTGGACAGCATAGGTTGTCAGAACAACACATAATTAGTAGCATAGTGAGAGCAAACTTGTTAGTGGGAACATAGCCTGAACCTCCTAGGTCATCAAATTCAGTCCTCTGCTATTTCAAGTGGTCACATAATACTAGGAAATTGGGAGACCTTCGTTTTTAGAAGTTTAGTCGTTTGCCCCGCTTCCCGCAATGCGATTCTCAAAAGGCGGTTTGAGTAATTTTCTCATGGTTAGAAACTCACTTTTAATTTTGATCCTAGGTTTACTGATGGTCAGGTCATTTATACCTTTCTTGTGCCGGTATTGTTCTTAAGTTTAACTAGTTCTCCCTTCTCTCTGTCTCGCTCACCTTACTGGCATTTATGGAGTGCAGTTGCATCCCCTCTCCATTCTTTGGTTTGTTTAGCTTAGCACGTGAAGATCTCTTAGGCTATTAGATGCTGCAATTAAGGCAGCTGTGGTTTCATATACATGGCCTTTCTCTAAACTGAAGAACTTGTACTGAATGTTCTGGTCTTAAACTGTAAAAACTGTCTAAGAAACTGGATAAATACTTGAATTTGTACTTAACCCCCAATTTTGCCCTCATAACTAAACCTCAGGTACATATAATTAGTGCTATTGCAACTGCAGCAAAGAAATAGTCTCCTTTTCTCAGTTCATCTGTTTGTCCTTGTACGTGGCACAAGTGCTTTTTGTGTGGTGGTATCTCATCTGCAGAGTTGCAGTGGCCAAAGGAGTCGTGTTAACTGAGCTGTCATGCTTGCGTGCATGTGCCTAGTCCTCCAAAGACGCAAGATAAAACATATCTGCCTGTGTCCTTTCACTGAGGTTTAAATTAATCATTTTACCTTAGAGTAACAATGCATGATATTAAGCTACTCTCACTTGATTTTTACCATAGGTTCTGTCTCAACTCTATTCAGCCCATTCATTCTTAATTCTTCAGGTGAAAAATGGTCATTTAAGTCATCTATCTGAGCTGTGCACCCACAGTTAATAATACTTGACAGCTGGCACTAATGTTACCGGCATTAGTACTTCTGTTTGTATACATTAATGGTACCTGTGTTTAGGCTGTTTAAAAAAAAAAAAAAGAAAAGAAAAGAAAAAAGAAAAACTATATTTTGGGTGCTGTCAGCAACAGCAGACAAAATTAGCAGGTCCCATCCCTGAGCCAAGTTGCATACAAACACAAAAAGAGACATACTACCCCAGGAACTTAGGTGGATGGGGGTGGGAAAGAGGATTCTTCTTTCAAACCACAACACCCTCTTATAAAAGCCCCCCCCAGTTCAGTGTCTATACATTCCAGCTTTTCACTCATCTCCTTGATAACACTTAGGTCAGCCAGCTGGCCTCTTCTCTTTAGGACGCACACCTGCCGTTCCTGATTTAAATAGCAGCCCCCCTCACTGTACTCTCGTTAAACCTCTGTTTAGCTGTACAAGAGTTTGAGTTTGTGAGAGCTGTTGCATTAGAGAAGAATATTAGAGAAGAATAGGTCTTAGTAAAGAAATGCTGCTTAGGTCACCACTAAAATTGTCACTGAATAGCCTTTAATAAACATGCTTTGGCAGTGCTCAAGTGTCCATAGAGAAGGAAGTCTGTGTAAGACCTAATCTAACCTGGTGTTTGTGCAGCAACAAAAACACAGTTTCCACAGGAAAGGTCCTATGAGGTCAGTAGACAGCCAAGAGCTGAATACCACATAGGTTTGCAGACCTAAATCGACACCTTGCACCCTGAGGTTAACTGCAAACCAGCTCCCAAGCCTGCCCTGTACTTCCTTGATTTGATTTACATACCACTGTTTGGAAACCTCTGTGCCTTTGTCAAGTTGTATTTGACTGAGAGAGATTATACAAATTTTATCCTCTGCATATTCATAAATTTTTTGATATTGCTCTATTCCTCCCTCCCTTCCTTCTTGTTGCAAAAAATCACTAAGATAAACATGAAGTTATAAAAAAAGTTTGCAACCCATTGTGTTAGGCTCTTTGATGTTGTTGTTGGTTTAGTTTAAATGAAAAGAGTGACTGGAGATTTTTCAAGGAAAAGAATAAAGACAGACAAAAAGCTTTAGCGACATTTTGGAATGTGTGAAAAAGACTTGTATTTTTTTCACCTTTTCCAATTATTTGCATCCCTTCCAAATAGTGAAAATAGAACATCTAAAAAGATGTTGATCGTTTTATATGTTCAGAAACTAAACTGTTTTTAATGAGAGCAATAACATCTTCTTTGACACTTCCTTCTTGGCTATGAATATTGGAAACAGAGAACATCTTGATGCTCAGGTCTGGGTGTGGACCACAGCTACATTCTGACTGCATGTTGAACCAAGACTCATTGTTCAACGTCTCTCCCTCTGCTTTCCCCGCAAACACCCCAGTTTTCCAGCAGGAGAGCCGTGATGCATTTCATTAAGCACCCTCCAATCTAAACTGTAGGCTATATCATGTCAGACAATGTGAAACACAGCCAGTGAAAGTGCTTATACCTCATGCAAGAGAATGCTGTCTTCCTTTTGTCCTACTCGTTCATAATAATAATCTAAGTGAAAGGAGAACAAATGTCGCCTTTTTAGATCTTGGGATAGGTTGCAGGACCAGCAATTAGTCTAATTTATAAAATGAACACAACTGAGATGACCGTGATGAGACACTGTACTCTGTTCTCTCATAGAGTAGCTCATTTTAATAAGCTCAAGTAACTGAGCCTTTAAAGCTGTTTTTCGTAGTAGGATTAAGTTGCTGCATCTATGTTATCTGAAGGAAAGTGAAGCAAATAAGATGAACTGATTAAAAGTTCATTGATGTAATTGTTATAACAGCAGTATTAATCCCATTGCAATCTCTGGGCTACATGGCCTCGCTCGTGTCTCTCTGAGATTCCGATCTCTCACCGTAGACAGAACATACAGAAGAGAGTGGTGGGGTCATTGCACTTTCTCTGATTTATGCTAGCGTAATTGAAATCAGACACTGATCTGTCATTTGGGTCGGTACCCCTCTCTCATTGCTCTGCTTTGCACTTTAAACATTTATGCATGATTTAATGAATTAAATGCTTTTTGTATTGCCGTCACTCATGAAGTGAAAAGTCTTCAGAAAAGCGAATGAGGGAATTTTAGTTTTTTGCCTGTTTTAGATTTTGTACCACTGGAGTCCAGTTCCGTGAAGTTAGTCCAGATTCACAGCAGCATAGCTGAAAAAGAGGTTGTTCTAACTGTCAGGATTGTACTGCTGAATGTCCTCCTGTTTAGAATTTCCTTTTAGTGTGAATTCATAAGCTTTTTATGTGCTGGGTAAGTCGAATGCTTTTTGACTTTCCCACCCTCCCTAATAGGAAACTTCTACTAAGGTATGACATCTCTTATAAGTTGTCATGAGTAATACCCTCTAAACCACATTCAGAGAAACAAGAATCCTTGCTATTTCTATCTATAGAATAATTTACAGAGGGAGAAGCTGATAAAGTAGTGAGATCTTCTTGAAGACTGTTATACTTAAACCCTTGTCTTCTCTGGCTCCTTAGCAGTTATCAAGCTGTAGTGCATGTTCTGTGCTATGGTATGTATATTCTAGCAAGACATTTGGAGTTTTTTTTGTTATAATGCTACATTTTTATTAAATTGCAAAGCTGGTGAAATTGGGTTGTCACAGAAGAGGAGTACTGAAACAGGAACCTGTTGGCTTTTGCTGTAAGGAAATGTGCCTTTCTCCATTTGATTTGAAAAAGGAAATAGACTGTGGTGGTGTGGCTATGGAACTTTCTCTTTCTGATTGCAAAAGTGCTAGTAAAAGAGATGAAAAGAAAAAGTACAGTATATAACAGTAGAATATTATGGCTTTGTCAAGATAAGAGAGTGAAAGTGATTAATTACCCTTTTTGTTTTGTTTTAGGTGTCAGAAACTATTTGAAAGAAGCATTAGTGAATATCATTGCTGTGCATGCAGAGGTGAGAAGACTTCAGATTGTTTGATGCTTATATTCATGTGAATAATTTCAGCGTACTTTCTTTGGTAAATGCTGACTTTCACCACACCTGAAAATTGTGCCTCTTTTGAAGTGTCTAATTATGGATATAAGTGCTTTGGGTTAGGTTTAGGCACCCAAGCATGAAACTGCTAACTTTTTTAAAGGCAGAAAGAGATTAACAGTTCCTGTTTATCCTCAGTAACACCCCATTACATTTTTTGGAGTGGGTTTTTTTTTTTCCACAGTTTGTTGAAGAGGAAAGTCAAAGTCTAAAGCTCAGTTCTTCCCTTTCCATAAAGATTAAAAATATATATGTATGATGCTCACTCTCTCTGCTTAACTTTATTTTCCATAGCATATAAAAATGAGTTTGTGCTTTAGAAGAAGTGTGTAACATATGCCACTTGGAGTGAAAAGGCAATATATGTCATATCCTTGTATATAGGACAGCAAGTAGAAACCTAAAAGCAGAAAGTTTTACAGTCTATATATAGCGCAAAGAGTTTTTAAAGTCCTTAGGTAGGCAATGGCTTACAAAAGGAAGTGTTTATTAAAATAAGAGTAGTAGTATTAAACTAATCAGTCTTCAGAGCTACAGTTAGTTGGCCTTTTGTGATTATATGCAGGAATATTCTACAGTGGTTTAGGTTACAGCCTCTCTTCTACATATTCTTTCCCTTTAATCACCAAGGGTATTACCAGGAGCAAATGGTAATCTGGTATTAATGTTAGTAATAGCGTCAGTATTACTCTTACTTATGTACTACCAAGGCTACCTTTCAAAATACCACAAGTTTAACTGCTCTACCTCTTGCCTTCATTTAAGGCCTTAGAAAATTCACTTGAGACCTTTATTTCGCTATTCCTTAAATTATAGTGATTAATATAAATTAAAATCTTTCAAGAACTTCATCAGTCACTGGAAATTTGTTGCTTCAATTTCAGTATTTACTTATAGCATTTTTCACACAAGCATTGGTGCATTTTCCACCGAATGCTTCAGACTGAGGAAATAAAAACATGTACCAACACGACATTCATCTGTCTAATTATGTTTTTCAGTGTAGTCGAAGTTAATAAAAATGAAAATGAGAGGTTTTGCCTTAAAGACATTCAAAGGCGTTTGTGACTTACTGACCTAATCCTGTAAACAGGCATACTCATTGAAGTTCTGCTACAGAACAGTGCACAATCTTGCTGACTTCATTGAGACTGATACTGATTTTGGCCCAAATAGTGTTGGCTCATAAATTTCTACATGTGAAGTATTGCAGAAATATGAAAACATGTGTCAAGGTGAAACTCCCATTTCCACCGTTTTCTGGTGAAATTCTGTAAGCTGGGTCAAATTTAAATTTAGCTAGCAAGGCTGTAAGTTTCTGTAGTTTGAAACAGCAGAAATTAACCATCAGCTGAACAGCCATGGTCTGAAGCGGAACGAAAATTGTGTCTCTACCTTAGAATCAAATCTAACTGAAATCGAAATAAAGCTTCTTATTGCAAATATGTGATGATTCACCATTGCTGAGAATTTTTTTTCCTGGATTCTGTATAGTAACATCAAGAATACTCGTTGTGGGTACAAATATTCTCTTCTCAGTAGAAGATTTTTGAGTGTGTTCCTTGTATGTTTGTGTTGAATTGCTCAGCAATATTTGCTGCTGAGTAAGATGACCCCTTCACAGGTTTTTTTCCACTTTTCTTACTGCACAGCTAAGTGTGTCAGTTACAAAGCTTTTGTGGGTCAAAACAGTTAAAGTAGGCTGCATGTTTGAATTAGCAATGTGAATGACTGATAGCCAGCATATATGTAGTCAGTGTGCTTAGCTTGTGATGGGAATCTGCCTTTTTTAATGGTCAGCTTTATAGGATCCCTGATATGTAATTCATTTCTCAAATAACTGAAAACTGGGTAGGAATCTTGCATTCATATTTATTTCCCTTAATTCACTTTTACATACGTGTATGAATATCTTCTGTTAATTCCTACATTTCCTTGTCAAACATAAGAGAGCTAAGCTTCACGTAGAGTGAAGGTCTTCTAGCAAAAAAAAAAAAAAAATCATTCAACTGTATCTTTTTAGGTCATTTTAAAGTAGACGTCTGAAAAAAGGTGTTTTAAAAACTCTGTGTAGTTTCATTCTCCTTTCGCCACTCGAGTCGCATCATCTTCAGTTCCTTATGTCACCTTCCCCCTGCCCAACCCCATGCAATTTTAGTACAGCTTTATCATCACCTTTAAGTCTTGACACAATTTTGATCTGTCTAACCTATAATCCCACTTCCTCTATATTCCAATCTCTTTGCCTGCATTTTCCCCAGTTCTGTGCAGAACATCATACCTTTTTTTTTTTTTTTTTTTTAAAAATCCACCAACAGTTCTCACTTCCTTAAAGCTTACTTTAAGGATGATTGGTTACTTCATGCTGTCCTTCAGGCATAGATCTAATGTTTAATTGTGTTTTGTTACTGTGTTGCAATCACTATTCTGAACTTCTAATGGAAGATCCAAGTACTACTTTAAAAAGTTGTACAGATAAGTAGTTAAAAAGATAATTTTGGTGCATAGGAAAACAGTGAGATGTAATGTTTTTGCCCAGGAACCAATAATTAACAGCAGTGGAAGAACCTAAATGTAAATCCTTTGCACCACCATACTGTCATACCCTTTCAAAGGCTTGTCTCTGCCATAGAGCATAAAGATACTTGCCATTTGACCATGGTTTGACAAGTGTACAGCTGAGTCTTTGCCACACATAAAGGACTCTGAAAGAAATTGCTAAATGCTCGAGTAAAAAGTAGCTGAACGTATAATCAGTGTGATGTGACTTACTTGTCTGAATTAAAAGTGTTATTCACAAAAAAGTAGTCTGTGTGTGACTACCTGACTACCTGCATCCATCAGGAGAGAGCAGATGCTTTGATGTCTATCTGATTTTGTGCACTGCAAGAAAGATGTCATTATCTCTCATCACGTAAGTTATGTAGCTAATACTGCTATTAACAGAGGTGATTGGTCAAAAGTACAGGGCAAGTGTCAAAGACATTCTTCAGATTCCGATTGTTCTGAATATTTTTGTCCATCGATCAAAACAAAGTGATCCCTTCAAAGTGTTTAATGCTTTTTACTACAATGTTAATATATAAAATAGTTGTTGATAGATGCCATGCTCATGATTCTTTCTTTATAACTATCAGGTATTTACCATTTCCAAAGACTTAGTTCCTCGGGTGATGTCAAGGATTGTAGAAGCAGTCTCTGAAGAATTGAGTCGACTAATGCAGTGTGTTTCATCCTTCAGTAAAAATGGAGCTTTACAGGTAGCTGAATACATTGTATTATCAAAGGTCTGTATTTAGAAAACTGACAGTAAGAGAGAGAGAAGTATAATCTGTGTACTTGTTGGATTTATTTTAGCACTGGAAACAAACAAGGAGGTAAAAAGTATTAGGATACAACCTATTTCTCAGGTATATGGTTCAATATCATTTGAGATGCTGGAACTGCATAATAGTAAATACGTCTCCATTTTTGTGTTTGGTTATATTTTAATGATCTGCATCTGAGTACAGAAAAGGTTACCTATTCCCGTGAGATAAAAAGCATCATCATGACATTTTTTTGAAACGTTATTAAATACTGTATTTGGCTTGTCACCAAAAAGTTTATTTTAAAAGGAAAAACAGTTTTATAATCTTTGCAGAGTTTTGACCTTGAAAACGTGATGTCGTAGGATCTTGCAGGTCTTTGCAGAACATGTTAGTCGCTTGCCTTATGTGCTAATTCTGTGTTAGCACTTAGCCATTGCGTGGGTAGGACAGATACTGTTATACTGCCCTCTTCATTTCTGATTCAACTGGTTGTATTTACTCCTGAGTAAGTTTTAAAGGAGTCTGTAAGAAAAAAAAATCAAAAAAAATTCCCATTGACTCAATGATTGCTATGACTGTGACAGGCAGGCAGAATTGGCCACCATTTTTTGTTGCCTGTGGCAGCTGTCTAACATTATGGTGGGAAACTAAGTATCTAAATGCAAGCTTTATTTTCCAAGAGCTGTTAGTAATTGCACTTGACAGAGAATTAAGGTAGGAAGATCACAACCATAAGACCGCAGCAATAAGACTGACTGCCATTTTAAACCAATGCATGCCCAACAACAAAGTTGGCAACGTATCATTTTTCTTTGACTATATGACCCACCTTACAAACTTGCTGCCTAAATCTGTAATTAAAAGAATCTTCCCTCCCTGCTGTAAATGTCTCATTCATGCTTCTTTTCTGTTCCTCTAAACATAGAAAATCCTATGCAATTTGAGATGGACAGTAGCAGTATGAGTGGTGTGAACTGGTCAGACTGATCAACAATATCCATTCCGTATGTGCAGAATCAGACTCTGACAAGAGAAGCCTGAGTCTGTATTCCTGCACCAGATGATTCATACTTATGCGAGCTTTGCTCTTCTACCGTGTTTGTTTAAGTTGTGGCACTTGAGACTGTGACACTCCCGCCATACTGTTATCTCCTAAAACTTAGGGTCCAAAATGTTCTATGTAGGACTTTAAGAAATCCCAGACTATTCAGCTTGGAGGGCTGTACAAAGAAAGGTGAAACATTCTGCAATTTGAAAAATACTTCTTATGAGTATAAAATGGGTGGTTAACTATATCCTGTTTTGTGCCAGAAAGTTCTGTACTAAAAAAAACATAAATCTCTGCTGGCTACCTAGGAGAGAGAGAGATGATGGGAAGATATAAAAGCCAAAACCTTTCATTAGGATTGGAATCAAATTTCTATGTTGCATTATAAAAAGTTTTGTTGTAAACAATTGTTATGATATGAATTATGACTAAATTTATATTTCTCTAATAACTAGCTGGATTAAATTGTGTATTTATGGTGAACAAGATCTGAATCTGAATTGGGGTGAAGTTCACTTAATATTTGTATGGAATAAATTATTTAAGTATTGATCATGTTTAGAATGTTCTTGTTCCATGTGAAACCTGTGGTGATAATGATTACATTTCCAAGATTGGAGAAAGATATATGAACTTTGTGTAATCCCTGAGTTCATTCTCCATTATAGTTTGCCTGGGTGGAAATCAATACCTCGACCACAGTACAGTGTAAGGGGTAGAATCCCCAAGCTTGTGTGCCCGCCAGGTGACAGACAAGATAAGTAGAGCACTACTTCCTCATCTGATGGAGGGGAAAAAAATCAGCAGCAAAACCAAGAATAAAACGTGTATTGACAGATTTTTATTTCCTTCCTCCCTGGCCAAGCCATGCTGTGAGAAGTTAAAATTACTGTACTTTTTTTTTTTTTTTTTAAAAAAAAAAAAGGCAGGGGGGGTGGGGGAGAACAGAAAAGTTAAGGTAGTGTCTTTCTATTGCAGAACAGAAAAGATGGAACAGTTCAAGATTTATTACTGTTACTGAGAGACAAACCAATGTTTTTAGGTTGCTACATAGTCATTGTGACTGTACAAACAATTTGACTTGAATCAAAAGTATGAAATTGTTCCCTTTAGCACTTTCCTAACTGACATGGCAGCATGGCAACCAAAAATACACGAAACAAACTGTTAAAGCCAAGGCTGCTTAAAACTGCAGCTTGTAGTGTTTTCCTCTAAAAACAGATGAAACGTTGCAATACTAATATTCAGTTGACCAAAAGGCATTGTAAGATTGTTTCAATATTTGTATTTCTGTCTTTAGGCAAGACTTGAAATCTGTGCGCTGAGAGATACAGTGGCCATATACTTAACACCAGAAAGCAAGTAAGATGTGCAGTAATTTATACTGTTTCACTGTAATGAAATCTTTGGTAAACATGCAAAAGCACATAATGTAAATTAAGTGTTTTCAAGCGACCGTGTTTCAAACAGAATATGTGTTACATTAAAGAAATACGTTACCACTATATGTTCAAAGAAAATTGTTACTTTCATTTAATTTTTTCTTATGAACTTGAACTTATTTGCTGATACCAACTAGGTATTTTGTACTCTTACCTTAAAAAAAGCAAAAACAAAAAACAAAAAAACTGAACAGTAGCTCAGCTGCTGAGGAAAATAGTGCTAAAACAAGACAAAAAGGTGTCACCAAGTTTCATCCAGTTTTTCACAGGGGTCCCAGGTAGCGTACTGCAAAAAGCCTGACAGACATTTCAGAGAGAACGTAGAACCAGCCACTGGCAGGATCCTCTCATAGGGATATGGAAAATTGGGGCTTTCCACAGGCTCCTACAATACACTTCTCCTTTTCTACACACCTGATCAGGGAAAGCGAGTTCAACTTCCCTCTGTCTCTTACAAAGAAAGCCTTCAAAAAGCAGTTTAGCATTTTTCAGTGGGGTACAAAATTAAAGATAAATATTTTGTGGCTGATGCAGTCCAGGCATCCAAAAACACACACTCTGATAGCTGTCAGCGGTTTTGAGTAATGTCGATTGGTTACAAGTTGTTAGTTAGTTGATTATCCTTGGGATTGGATATGAGCTTATTCATTCATTGTTTTAGATTACCTATGTTTTTGTTAGGCCTGGCATTACGTGTTCCCACAGATTGCAGTTTGCTCACGTTACATGATCAACATTTCGTAGGGGAAGTTGTAAAGCCTGAGGCTCTAATGCATCTTCATAATGTCACGTGTGGTATTCTATGATGGCACTGCATTCAACTTGGAAAGGCTTGCTTCCCTATTCTGAGTGTCTGATGGTGATGAAAACCTAGGTGAAAACTACTTCGCACCAGCTCAAATTGGACAAAATTAAGTGCTATTGTTTCCAATCAGCGTAGCAGCAAAACAGAGTGAACCCCAGAAGCTGACTCTTGTTAGATGCCTTTTTATTCCTGAACTTGTCACTAATAGCTGCTACAAGTAGCCATATTTATCAGGGTCTTGTATCATTCACGGCACATGCGTTTGAGGTTGCTAAGAGAGGTGTGGAATATCCATCCTTGGAAATATTCAAACTTGACTGGATAAGGCCCCAGGCAACCCTCTCTAACTTCAAAGTTGGCCCTGTTTTGAGAGTGGGATTGGACCTGTTGATCTCTGGAGGTCCCTTCCAACCAAAACTATTCTATGATTCTGTGTTGCATCAATGCAAACCTACTGTGATTTTCTCTCTAAGCTTTCTCCTGTAGGAGAGAATGCAGTGACCTGTCTGCTGAGTGCAGAGAGCCCAAGATCAATATTTTACCTGTGCTTTCATACTCTGATGGTCACTTAGTTCTAGGCAGAAGACAGGCTGGCAATTACTGTAATACCTGAAGAGTCCAGGACATCAAGCACTGTCTTAAATCGACTGCTGGTTTAACATTTCCTTTTGGCCTCTGATGTACATCAGATTAGGACTGTCAAGAGACCTGCCCGAGCCCATGTCCACTTTATATATAATTTGCACATAAATGTCAAGTATTGAGTTGATATTTTCTTAATTTATTGAAATAAGAAGAATGGATAAAATATAGCGTGTCTCTGTGAACTATATGTAGAGAAAGTGTGATAAGTATTTTTGCTTTCCTTACAGCTCAAGCTTTAAGCAAGCTCTGGAAGCCTTGCCTCAGCTCTCAAGTGGAACAGACAAAAAGTGAGTATACTGCACTGTCTCACCTCCTTTCTGGTTTCTAGGGCCATTGCTTTTTACTGTTGTGTCAGAACTTTGTTACAAGAGGATTAACCTTCACTGTATTTTGCTCTTCGGAGTCACAGAATGAAAGCTGCTTTGGACAGTGTTGAAAGTAAGCTAGGCCCTTGTTCAGTGTGGCCTATTAAATTATACAGCAGAGCCAATGGCGTTGTGGCACATCTCCCTTTCCCGTCCTAGGCTTACCAGTTCAATATAACTTTGTATTTATTTTTAAATTTCAGTCAATTTTAGCCTTCTACACTAATCTTCATTTCTGTGAGCTCCATTGTCTTTTCTTGCTGATTTTAGCAGCAATTAAAAAATGGCCAAGGAGCACAGTCCAAATTTTTGCCAGCTGATATTTGGGGAACCTTCAAAACCGATTTGTTTCATTTTAAAACAAATAAGAAGGCTCTATCATTCTTCCTTAACATCAAGAGGAATTTTGGGTTCCTCCTTGCACACCATAGCAACCTTTGACAGCCAAGCTGCTTTTCTGCATCCAACCTAGCATTTGGTAGTCTATGTTATAAGCACAGCTTCGTAAGTGTAGCATGGTAAAACTAGGTGAGATTTGTAATGAGTATATTAGTATAAATATGGCTGTTTTGAGATTGGTATTATGGTATCTTTAGGAACTGAACTGCATCAAATCAGTTTGCACTTAAAATTCAGAATTCAAAGTATTCTGTAGACACATGTAGATCCTGTTTGTACAGCCTGTGAGCTGCAAATCTTGCGTTCTTCCAGAAGTCCTCTGTCTGTTTATTCAAACCTATTGTTCACTAGCACTCCACAGTCTCAAGTTATCTTCTTGCCTTATCTCATGTTTTATTAAAGATAGGATCAGTTTTGAGTAAGGAGAGTTCTTCTTTCAACTCAGACTTTCCGAAACACCTGTCGGATTTTGTTGACTTAGTCACCAGCATCTGAGCTTCATGGGACAGATGAGAATCAAGAACTGCATCATTTTTCGTCTCTTTCAGAGTTCTGAGCCCCAGACGGTGTCAAACTTTGTTCTGTTTCCTGGATTATTAGCAATGCAATTGCCAGCACTCCAAACAGTTCATTATAAACTACATGTATCTGTGTTAACACATATTTATGCACTGATTTAGAGCTGTTTATTTCTGTTTAATCAGTCGTTACTACGATACTGAATGATGAATGTGACTATAGTCATTTTCCAGAGGGGTTGCTGAGGAAGCAGATATTGATTTTGTGTTGTATTGTTCTTGATTTTTATTTTTATTTTTTACCATACAATATAATTTCCTGTTTTACTGGCTGTTGAATAATCACAGCTTGCCAAAAGTTTGAGATAATGTGTGTCTGCCCCATCTAGCTTGCTTTTGAAATAGAGTAAAAAGTTCTGAGAACGCTTTCTTCCCCAGAAGACGCATGAAACGTATAGGCAAGAATGTAAAATATAATAATGCATCTCCACTATTGTAATAAATATCTTCTACAACAAAACCATCAATACCCTTGATCCTGTACCTGTATTTTAAGGATTATGATAAACATAATCCACTGCACCGACTACCGTCTTGGCAGCTATAACTGAACAATTTTTATGCTCCAGAATGAACTCATACATAGTTTATTATCTGTAAAGGACAAAACGACGTAGCTGCAAATGAGTGAATACTTCTCCCAGAACAGTCATTCTACCTCTGATCTCCTAGACGTGATCCTAAAGAGAAATTCCTGCAATACCTCCCAAAGACAAGTTTGAGAACTAAATTTTGCAGTTCAAATAGACACCAAAAACCATAGCCTTGATAAGGGATACTGGTTTTATGGCACAGAGTCTGGCAGTTTCTGGATTTTCTTTACATTATAAGAATCTTACGATCCTTCCCTGCCAGTCCTTTTGCTATTCTGTTTTGCGTATGTGCTTCTTTCAGGAGATGGTCTTTATATGGAAGGAAAGGAATATAAAGGTGTATTTTATTACCTTGATAAAATCTCTGTGGGTAAGTCTTCCTCCGGCCATAGATCACCCCTTTATGAGACACACTTACCATATTTCTAAGTATCTGTAATATTCAGATACGTTAACTAGATCCAATTTTAGGCCCTCTATTTAAACAGACAGCATATTTGAAGTTAGAGACAGAATAGCCAGCAGGTTTGGTAATTTTTGCATTTTCAGAATCTATAAATATTTTCTTTTTACAGGTTATTAGAAGAGTTACTGAACAAATTTAAAAGCAGCATGCACTTGCAGCTGACCTGCTTTCAAGCTTCTTCATCAGCAATGATGAAAACATAGACAGTGACACGATGCAAGGAACTCAGAAGGTGAACACAGATAAGCAGCACCCATTTTCCTTTACTACTTCCATTCCTTTGAGCTCTCTGAAGAAGAAAAAAGGAATTTCATTGAAAAGGAAACAATGAGATACAACTCAGAATAATGATATGCAGTATCCTGTTGAATGAGAGTTCCATTCATAAATATCAGGATAAAATGATTTTCTGTCTACTATATGGCATTCTGTGGAGTGGATTAAGCCAGTTTTGTTTGCATACACTCTTCTTGGCTGTATGTTTGTGAGGAAATCTTTGTTTACGTGCTGCAATGTCAGTTTCATTTGTTAAAATACACTTAAATATATTTTTAGCAAATGTCACCTTAATTTTGTGTAGTTAAACATACTTTTCAGTGCATTAATTCTTACCTTCCAAATGCAGAACAATACTGATGTAAGCAATTGGAAGAGTCAACTTCTATAAAGCATGCGATAAACATTACTACTTACAGATGACAAATAAATATTCAATACAATGTGCAAAAGGATACTGCTTCTTTCACATTAAAAAATTATCACTTTTTTTGCTATCATCTACAGTTTTAGTAGTCATAAGTCTGATTTCTTGGGAGGCTTTTTTATTTGTTTGCTTCTTTCTTAATTAAACAGATCTCTCTCTATTATTTTTCCTTCAATCTGAATATTGATGTTAACATTCATATCTGAAATAAGCTTTCTTTTCACTGGAAGTTAACATAAAAGTGCTCTGAGTTTATAAATGTAATTAGTAGGGGTTTTTTTGGAATATTTAAGTGAAATATTTGGTGTTAAGGAGTAGAATAGCTAGTAGCCTGTTGCATAGTCAGAGGTAAGTAAGGAGAAGTACGATATGTCATTGGTTTTGCAGTTTTCTTCTCACTTGTCTTGTTGTTAACAGACTTACTACCACTGTCTTCTCCTTCCCTCTTGTTAGTCAGTCCTCTTTTCACCACCAGCTATTGAATTTGTTTGGGGAATAGGTATTCAGGAGGAGAGAAGAAAATTGTTGCTTCCACTAACATATAATTGCAGAAAGGCCAAGAACTGCCTTCCCAGCTGGTGGGACTAGATTCAACATTGATGTGCATTCTGGGAATTAATACAAAATGAAGGAAGTTATAATGGAGAGCAACTAATATACAAGTGTTTTGGGGTTTTTTGGGGGGAGGAGAGGGGGGGGGCTTTTTAATTTTGCCCCTGAAATTGTGGCTCACACATTAAATAAATTGTGCAGTAGTGATATATTCTTTCTGTACTTACAGTCATTTCAAGTGTGACTTTCAGAAGCTGTGCAGTGAGTTTCTGTACAATTTTTTTGTCAGCTTTTTTCTTTTGCCAGCCCATTTAGATGCTTTAAAACATACAGCTTTAAAAAAAAAAAAACGTATAGTTCTACTAATTATTCTGAAATACTACAAGAAACAGTTTGGTGGACATGTATTTGTTCATGAAAAATTGTATACAAGCAAGCGGTAATAGCTTTTTGAATGGAAGTTTGAAACTTGAAATACATGTCATTATTGGCTTAGCAGAATCATTAAACAATCTGAAGGAATGTTTTGTTAGATGTTACCCATTCTAAGCTGGTCATACTCACAGCTTCTGGTATTAACTGAAATCATTCTTCAGGTAGTTCAATCTGTAAAGCAGCTAGATTCAGAATAATAAAATAATAAGAAAGATGGTCACAAAATTTCCCCTAATTCTTCATTTTCCA